TCTGATTTTAAAGAAACTTTCAAGACAAATGAATGAAATTATTTTGACTTTTTTTTTTTTTATGTGAATCCCAGTCTCCAACTTAGTTAATTTCATGAAATTTTGAGAAATTAAATTGCATTCCCAAAATTTGTTTTATTAGTTAAAAGCAAGACTCCTGGGAGAATGTAAATCATCAATTTTTTTTTTTTTTTTTTTTTTTCAAACTACTAATCCTTTCCAAAAAATTTGCTCCAAATCTTAAAATAAAAAATGGCATAAAATTATGACATTATTTAATTAGAAAAGCTATTAATTGCTTTTACAAATAAGATTGGACACTATTGTCTTCAGAAAAAAATTTTCTTTTAGTGAATAATGAATTTTTACAGGAATTGTTTTCATTTTTTAAAATTTTAAATTATAATAATTTATATTATAAATCATTTAAAATTTTGCATTACTTCAAGCTGATCAGATGATATTGTTATTAAGTGAAAACTATATTTATGAATCAAAAATTGAAAAGCTCAATAGAAGTCGTTTACATCTAATATTTAAAATTTTTTATGTATATAAAATATTAGGTAACTTGCACATGTTTGAAAGTATGGTTGACCATACACAACATAAGCAGAAAATAATGACTATAGTAAATTTAAATTCAACATTTCTAAAATTAGATTACGGAAAATATTTTCCAACATTTTTAAGATTACTGAGTACTTAAAATTTAAATAAAACGGTGCTCACCTGTCATTTTCTTAAATTATGTTTTAACAGATAAAGTCTCTCTAGAACAACAGTAAAGGTGTTGACAGATTTTATCATCGTTTGTTAAATGATCCACGACAGTGATAAGCATGTAGTCCCCGCGACTGTTTGTTTAAAAAAATCCATTTCTCTGTTAATTTAAACTTAAAGTAAATATAATAATTAATTTAAACTTAAAGTAAATATAATTGTTTTTCAAATCAGATTAATTATACTTTAAATCAGATAATATTCTCAAATAAAGCTTCAGAAAAGTATATTTTATTTCTGGAAGATTTTTAAAACCAAGAATTAATGTATCAAAAATGGCCAATTTTGTGAAACAAGCAAAAAGTTGAATTCCAATCAATATAATTTTGCTTACTGGAAATAATAAATTTAATCATTTAACTTTCTATTAAAGCTAAAATGAAAGCCTCAAGAATGCTTTTTCATTTTTAAAAATTCATTTTAAACCTTAGGTATTGAAAATTCAGTGGAGGTACCTACTTTTAACCTATGCAAATTTTAACTGTCCCCTCAATCTTTAAAAAGTGCTTAAAGAGGCAAAACAGAGAAAAGTGCGATTGTGGCTATTCTGTTGGTTGGCGAAAATGGATTAGGGAACTTTATTACAAGTCAGATGAAACTGACCACAGTTATCATCTGGACCCACTTCTCAAAATATGACCAAATAAAAGAAAAAATAATTAAGCCAGTATCTTCACATATATTTATCATTCTTGTATTAGCTATGTAGAAAAAAACAAAAAAATCTGTTGAAGTCAATCTGAAAATTCCCAAGTTTAATCTACACATCAGGAGAAAAATAACTGAGCAATACTAAATAAGAACAAGATGAGATATCCCTAAACATCAGTTAAAAGTTCCCTGAAGGCCACCAGGATTAACAAGTGTCCAACGAAGGCAGGAGGGCACAACTGCTGAAACATTGTCATAACAACAACAAAGATGAGGACATCAGGCTGAATGGTGATTTTCTAAGCATAGCTTAGATGTGACACAAGGCTGAAAGTATGGGGCCCCCAGTGAGGATCGAACTCACTAATCACAATTGATCTAGCAAGACAAGCTTGCAAACCGTTACACTATAGCAAGTGCCCATACAATAGTCTGAAAATAAATAATGATAACTCAAAATTCAGACATAAAAAAAAAAAAAAAAAATATTTATCCATTTTATTAACAGAATTTGGAGTCAAGGGTCAAACCAGATGAAATACTCTGCTTTTGGTTAAGCATTAAACTAGTGCAGACCTTAAGTCAGATCTGATGAGGTAGGTAAAACAAACAGTCGTTAATTGATTTTCTAAATCCCTTTTTCAAAAGGGGACTATTGACACAAAGAGGCCATAATTTATGTCAATTTAGCCACCAACATCTGGCCAGACATGTTAGCTGACATAAATGCCTAATAAGGTTGGCTCTATAATATGCAACATTCCCCAAACCCAACTCCCTCACTACAAGGCAATAAAGTTTACAGCTGTTGCAATGACTAAGGTAGAAAGTTCATAAAATTGATTATCTACATCAAATATATCCTTTCATTGTAGAACCAAATGCTGGAAAAATAACTCATTTATTCTTAACAAATGGCATCCATCTTCTCAAATTACAAGGTACTCATTTATTTTTATTTAGATCACTAAGAATATTTTTATTATCAGATGTTGAATATTCTCAAATATTATTTCAGTATTTGAATGAATATCCTCATAACTGGCAGCAACATATGAGAGAAGAAGGATGGAGAACACCTCAGCCAAAAAGTGCTGAAAACAATAAAATGATGAGGATACAAGTTGAACCGAAACAAACAAGAAAGTATTTTTTGTTTTATTTTTTTTAAATAAAACCCAATATATCAAATACAGAACACAAGTTAAAATAGCAAAAATTAAGATATTATTTTTAAATGATGTTGACAATTTTAAATAATTAAAAAAGTCTTTTTTCTGAAGCCCAAAAATAATTCTTTTCTAATACCATTTTCTCTGCTCACCCAGATTAAAACAGTTTAGAAAATATTTCAAGGAATTTTCAGAAATAGTACCTAATGAAAGTCAAACAAGAAACAAAGCTCCAATAATTGAACACATGAGAATCTAACTCAAGTTGTCATACAAATCAGTGCTCCTCCAGATAAAAAAGAAATGGCTTTTATCAACCTTTCTCTAATAAAACAATTTTACCAGAATTGAAATGTTTATACCTTGTAGTAGTAGATATAATAGTCTTAAGTTGTCCAAATTGTTTAAATAAATATCGTGATTATTAATTTTTAAATATTTTATCTTATTTTTTCAATATGACATGAAATATAGAAATCAAAGTGAAAAATGTAGATATGTGAAAAATGTGCATATCTACCATTAAGCCCAATCCTTTGGTAAAATAACTCAAGGATATAGGATGTGAGTTCAAATCACATAGAAGCTTACTTGTTAACATAAAAATAAAAAATAGCAACAAAAACAAAAAGAAAAACTAATCAAAATATCTAATGTAAGGAATTCTGACAACTACATATAAGAGTTGCAATCAAATATAATAGATTGGAATCCAATAGAATGATAAGAACAAATAGGAAATGTTTATTAATCTAAAATACAGGTAGACTTGGAATCCATTAATATTTAGAAACTTTGAATGGATGTCGTCTCTCCTTGAATTCAGAATGTCACAAATTATTCTAATGTTGTTAAAAAGTTGAATGCACATTAAACATGATTAACCAATGAAATTCAAAGAGCACAAAAGTAAAAATAGCAGAATTTCTTTCTTTTTCTTCATATCTCATTCTCTGATGAAGCATTACTAAAATTGAAACATGTTAAATTGCTAAACATACTGTGTTTATCAAGTCTCTGAGTTTCATGCATTGTGCAACCATCAGGCAGTGTAGATTAATTTTCCACATCCATCTATGTGATTGTATGTATATATTTAAAAAATAAATATATATTTTAAATTGTATGTATATAGGTATATATTTAAAAAAAAATATTTAGACATTTCAATAATTTAGTTACCTTCCTTGACATTTACATCATAAAATTTAAAAATTGTACCGCACATAACCGTAGCATTTTTCACTTCTCAAGTAAAAATTTAAATTTTCAGAACACAAATTTTTTTGTCTAAGAAAAAAACGACACACTGATGACATTGTGCTAATGTTGAAATTACTCAGAATAAAATGAATATGCACCAACATGGTAATTTTCTTTCTTTAATAAGGATAAGAAATTTGTCTGTAATTATGAGAGGGTCCTATTAAAAATAAGTAGACAAAACGTGTATAAATTATTTAATGAGACATGAAAACATGCTGCCAAAATATATGCAATAATTTTTCTATATATATATATATATATATATATATATATATATATATATATATATATATATATATATATATATATATATATATATATATTTTTTACACACAAAAAGAAAATTAATGACAAAATAGAAAAATCTTTTTAAGTGATGCATTCATCCTTTAGGACTTTATAATGTTTTTTGATGATGTAATTATATATGTGTAGGAAGGAAGGGGAATACAAAAATGCAAATGTTGTTTATAATTATGCATAGGTAGAAATTTCCTACTTATGAATAATTATAACCAATGTTTATGTTTTTATATTTCCCCTCCCCTTCCAAGGCATATATAATTACATCAACAAAAACATTAGTTTAATGTATTCTTAAAGGACAAAATGCATCACACAAAATATTTTTCCCCCATTTCGTCACTAATTTTTCCTCATATACAGTGTAACCCGGATATAAGAGAGTTGTCGGGACCGGAGAAGAAGTCTCTTATATCCGGGTTTGGTCTATTTTGTTTACATTAACACAGGCTCTAATTTGGGACCAGAGAAAATCTCTCTTATATCCGGGTTACATTGTATATGCATATAAAACATAAAAAAAGTAACTCTTCATTATTTAAGTAACTGAATTATGAGTGCATTGCAGTCTATTGCAATTATCCTGGCTTTTATCTTTGGCATGTAATCTCATTTTAGAAGTAGATATTTCTTCACAAGTGAGGAGAGAAAAACTAATCTCAATCATGACGGAAAAAATACATTCCAATAAGTGTCTATTTCTTATAAAAATCAATTGGAATTTCCTTGTTCAAATTTAAGGCAGGGATTTATTAAAGTACAGCAATTAAGTCTGAAATTGGATCTTAATTGTTCAAAGTAATTAGGAAACAAGTAATCACCAATTTACAAAGAGAGCGAGCGAGAAAGAAAGAAAAGGAGCGAGCGAGAGAGATTGAGAGAGATTGAGCGAGAGCAAAAGAAGGAGAGAGAGTGAGCGGGAGCAAAAAGAAGGAGAGAGAGTGAGCGAGAGCAAAAGAAGGAGAGAGAGTGAGCGAGAGCAAAAGAAGGAGAGAGAGTGAGCGAGAGCAAAAGAAGGAGAGAGACAGAGTGAGTGAAAAAAGCTAGAGAGTGTAAACAGGCCAAGTGATAGAAAAAGATAGCAAAGAATGTTGAATGGTAGAAGAAAAATTATACTCAGTAGGAATGAGAGTCTGCTATGTTATCTCCAACACACAACATCCTATTCACTAAGATTAGACTTTGTAGCAATTCTAAAAATTGCTTTCCGGGTCAAAGAGGGGTGCGAACTGCTCAACAAAAAAAAGAAATAGAAAAGAAATTCTATTTAACTCCTACCCAACCAAAAGTAAATAAATCTAGTATTTGGAGGAGGAATAATTTCTTATACTGAAAAGAAGCTTTTTCTTTTCAGTTTGTTTATCTCATTTTTCTGCACTGATATTTAAAGCAAAACCCCAAAAAATAAGTCTCAATAATTTCTAAATGTTCATGGTTGTTTTCAGATTAAATATTTTACAAATATCTTTTCAATGCTGACATTGATTTAATGTTTTCACTTAAAATACATTTTCATAGAATGAAGAAAAAAAAATGGATTATCAGCAATATTTAATTACTACAATAAAACATTATTGCCAGTTAAGTCAAAATGGTTTTAAGTATAACATGCTTGTAAAATTCACACTCTACAAGAGAGATGCAAATGTTGACATTGTGATGAAACCAGGGAAGGTTAATTCAGGTTCATCATTACTAATGCAACTACTGAAAATCTGCTTCTGTCATTAACCTGGATAAAATTTCACTTATAGCCACCTGCTACTCTTAGTACTACAGGTAGCAATATCAGTCACCAGAAGAAACTTAACAACAGAGGTAAAATATCCCATTTATTATGATAGCCAACAATTCTAACAAATTCAAAAAGAGATTTTTCTGGTGGAAATTATAAAACATCACATTGCCCATATCAAATAAGGCTGACTTTCTGGAAAAAAAGCTAAAAACAAAAACACTTATAGGAATCATAAATGAATTAGTTATGGGCACTTTGATGTGGTATAATGGTTAACAAGCTTGTCTTGCTAGATTAATTACGACTGAATTGGGAAGTTCAATCCTCACTGGGTGTCCCATACATTCATTTTTGTGCCACATCTGAGCTACACTTAGAACAATCAACAAAAACGAATTAGTTATACTGTGTGAGCCTATCGGTAATATTGGGCGAGATGGTTAATAATGAGATTAAGAAATGTTTACCTAACTAAATAACTTGGCATAAATAAACAAATAAGTAAAATAAACAAATAAAATAAGCCAAAAATGAGCAAGTGAAGTTAATGTAAGACATGAACATATAAATTGAGAAGCACTTGGAGAGCAATCATCCTAACCATTCTTGTGCACAAGAACAGCAGATCCAGACAGATGTTGCACTACCTGGGGATAAGAACATTATTAACATGGAACAAGCGAAAAAATTCAGGGGTACCAAGAGCTGGTAGGGCAAATCATAGAAATAGACCAAGCAGCAGTTCAAGTTGTTCATTTTGTAGTTGGTTGATTTCAAGGACTATTTCTGCCTCACAAGATGTCTTGGAGATATGAGACATCATTGGGATGCACATGTGGCAGCACTGCTTGGAATGGTTCATTTGCTGAGGAAAGTGATGTGTATCTAAGCTGCAGGTAGGAGCTGAGATATGAGCCTTGTAATGGCTGTATAAACACCCAGCATCTAATTTAGTTGCTAACATCACATTCCCATTTCTGATTCAATTTTACATGCAAAAAAAAAAAAAAAAAAAATATATATATATATATATATATATATATATATATGAAGAAATATAGTTTTAAGGTGTGCTATATTTATGAGATAAAGTACTCAATATCAGAGATAGAGCATATATAAATATAAAAGTGAACATTGAAGTTGTCACTCAGATGTGACAGGCTTTTCAAGCTAGATTCTATCATCTAGCGTGAAAAGCCTGTCGCCTGAGTGTTGACTTCAATGTTCACTTTATTTATATATATATATATATATATATATAAACATGTTAAATATAACAGACAACAAATGTCTTATGTTTGATCATGGCTTTAGTTTTAGGAGAAAATAAAGATAAAAAAACATGATACGAATTATTATATGGCACATTTAGAAAATTTAATAAAAAAAATAAAAATAAAAATAATTAATGACACTAATAAACCACCTATATATATATATATATATATATATATATATATATATATATATATATATATATTTATATATATTGGAATAATGTTTTGATACCACAAAACAAATATAACGATTTAAAGAAAATGAATTTCTTTTGTATGACCATTTTTTTTTTTTTTTTTTTTGCAGGACCTAGGTACCTTTCGCCAACGCTTCATCAGGGTCTTTCGTTGGCAAATGATTTTAAACAAACAATAAAAAATGAAAAGAACGCCAAAATGGTATGGTTGGAACACATCTAAAATTTTACGAAGATATATATACGTAAAATTAAAATGAATTCTGATTAAAATAAATGCGTAAATAATGAATTAATAATAATGAACCAACCTGAGCAGTAAGATAGGAAAATAAGTTGCTCATATATCAAAAAAATAAATTTAGCGATCGTGAAAAATTCTCCTTTTGTTTAGAAAGCGATGGTTTAAATAATTTGAGGCAGATGGCTTCCAAAATAGACAGATGATATTTGGACCTGCCTTTACGCATATAATTGAAAACAGAGTCCATTGTGAAACGTTTTGAGCATGACTCATTTTCTAATAGGTGTTGCCCGATCGCGAATCGTGAGCTGATTATAAAACACGAATGCGATTATCTAAATTTAATTTAATGTGTCTGGGTACATGTTGTCCGATTCTTGTTTCCAAACGAAGACATGTTAAGCCCTATGTATTCAGCTTCGCACTGACATTTAAATTTATATATAATCGAACTTTTATTATGATAGGGCAAACGATCCTTGGAAAAAGACGGAAAAACAGTCTGAGTACCAAAGACAACACGTACTTTGGCGAAAAAGAAGGTAGCAGAAACAACATTTGAAACTTTATCAGTCAAAAAGTTTACATTTTCTGCCCAGCCAAGGTAATTTCAGATAAATAGGGCAAAGACCTGGGCTAAATTTATTAGAGTTCCTAACATTAGTAACAGAAGGAATAGAGTTTAGCTTTGAAAATATTATGTACTCCCAAGTGGATGGCGTTTCTATGGGTAGTCCTTTAGGTCCCTTTTTCACACCAGTTGCCATCCAAGGCTATAGAACCTGGTCTGTCCTGCTATTTATCCATAGCTGAGAGAGAAAAAGAGAATTCATACCTTTCCCAAGGGTATTAGCATGTAATGGATTCCACTGGAATTCAAACTCAGCACTCCGATTCCTCAATCCGAGCCACTATCCATTACTCAACCGTCCCTCACTTATATGCTAATATCCTTGGAAAATCTATGAATCCTCTTCTCCCTCAAGCTATGGGTAAATAGCAGGACAGACCAGGTTCTATAGCTTTGGATGGTAACTGGTCTACTGCAGAAATAAATGGCAACCTAATGCAGGAAAAATCTGCCTCATCAGTCATGTATCGAAAGATACATGATCACCTAAGCGTGTATCACGCATGGCACATAAGTGACTAACTTGTTGACATGTCAGTATTATACTGAATGAGCACTCAACATTTTTGACATTTTTGTAAACTTATTCTTCTCATTTCCAGTTGTTTTTATTGGAACAGACTTCACCCACTGTGAATTCCAGAATTTGAAAACAAGGCACATCAAAAGTCAAGGGTGTTTGGTCATCATTTCCAATACAGCCTTTTCTTAGCTGAATAACAAAACACTGAAAATTCAAAAGCTTATCTTCATTATCATCAGGCAAACACTGGTCTATGGATGTTCTTCTCCTAATAGATATATCAAACCTCTTCATGAAAAGAAAACACCAGTTCACTGAAGCTTTAAATATGTTTCCAGAAGTTCTTTTGCCTTTATCCTTATTTCCACAGTAATTATGGAACATTCACTTGATCATCTTTCTTCCACAAATTCAACTAAACTTTGTTCCATATCTGGATATTGAACTTTTTTTTTTCCTCTACTTATAGATTTGGCACTTGATTTACACTTTTTTAGTTAATTTTTATTCTTTCTCCATAAATGTATGTTAGCCTCATTCAACTCATATTCTCTAGCTGCAGATCTGTTTCCTATTCTTTCTGCTAATTCTATTACTTTTTGTTTAAAATTTGCACTATAACTCACACATTTTGGTGGTAAAATAAAATGTTATATTTATCAGGAAAACCGCACAGTAATTTTCAGTATTATTTTAGCCACTTAGTTTTGATTTTATTCTCAATGTCAAGGTTGACAAAATGTCTTCATAATTATTTTTTTTTTTTGACAAATTTATAGATGCCTAGGGATAGATATATTTATTAGTTTTTGGATCATTCATTGGGCTGCATATTATTTTCGAGAAATTATGGTATATATCAAGATTGATATTATATAGCAGTTTAGCAAACTTTTCTTTGTTTCTAACAATATTTTCCTGTTTTTTAATACTTTGTTCAGCTATTAAAATGCATCTTTCACTATTTCAATGCACCTTTCAATTTTGGTATCACATATGGCTACAAACATAAATGCAACACTTTTTCCCCCCCTGAAAGTCTTGATTTTTTGACTCAAAAATCTTCAGAAAAAAAAAAAAAAAAAAAAAGGATTCAATTTTGCCAATCTGATGGACATAAAGTAAGGGTTCAGTTCAGCATTACACTTCCATTGTAAAATGAACCCTTAATAATATCTTCTAATCAATGTCTACTCTATATGGCTAAACAAAAAGAAAAAGATTCAGTTTTGTCAATCTGATGGACATAAAGTAAGGGTGAAATCTATTTATATTAGTATTCAAACTCTATTAAAAGAACGTTAAGTTTGGGAATCTTCAGAAATTAATATGTTAAAAACATGCTCCAGGGTTCAATTAGTAAAAAAATTTGGTTACCATAGATAAAACTGTACTTGGAGTTATGTGATAACAAACAGATAAAAAAAAAGACTTTTTCAGTAAATTATTCTAAGATGAAAAAATATTCGAAAGCCATTTGATAGTTGAATTTTATCATTGGTTAAAAGTTCAAAATGCTTGAAAAAATATAATTAAATCAGGTGAGAATGGAGATGCCTCTAAAACTTAAGTGCCTCAGCTTCTTTATGGCAATGTGTGAAACACAGAGTCTGGCTTTATCAAGTAATAGAATTGGTTTGCACCCATTTGCAGACCCCTTCACACATGAAGCAAATGTAAAATTGAAAACACTGACACAAAAATGATGGTCTAATTTCTGTGTGCATGAATATTTGTTATAAACTACGAAAATGGCACAATGTCAAACAATACCATTTAAAAGGCCATAACTTGAATAATAAAACTATTTCCAGCCTAATCAGTTCACCAGTTTATGAACAATTTTTAAGTATAAAATTGACAATGATGATAAATGTTCAAGGGAGATAACTTCAGCAGTATTAATTGCTAATTACAGAGTAGTTTCCCTTGAGATGTTTGCATATTGTAATCTAGTGACATGCTAGTGACAATACTTTCTTAATAATAATACGTGTATATCATACAACAATTTAAATAAAGAGTTATTCAACAACTTGCTTCTTAATTGTTCAGTTTTTAATTCGTAAAATCTAGAATAGTTCCCTAACCCATAGTGCTCCGACATATTTCCTACCAGCCAGGTTTCCATCCTGAAGGACACACTAAGTATATTTATTTATATGATGCACAAAGGAAAAAGAGAGAAAAATAAATAAATAAAAATCTTCCACAATTTTTACTGTGGGCTCTTTAATACTTGCTACTAACCTGAGAGTCCTAAATTTCTTTTTTCAAGAATGAACTTGTACTGACTAGATGGCAGACAATGATAGTAGTACAAAGAAAGCTGAAAGACAAGTAGAAAACTTGGAGTACTATTTATTATTATCACCTGACTGCTGAATCTATTGCAGTCAGATGACCTGGTTGTCATATCAACAACACAAGCTGAGAATCCTCTTCAGTTTTCATTATTTTTAGAGTCCCAAGCAAAATGGCTTTCTAGATCATTGTGCCAATTATTTATACAATTAATAAGAAATAATTACCTGAAAGATATTTCTATCAGAATATTTCTACTTAAAGGATTACATATTACTCAAAAACAAATGAATAGCATGTGTGTGAGTGTTTTATATATATATATATATATATATATCACGTTATTTTTAGAGGATGCTCATATTCGAGTAGACACTCCATTTATTAAATATTTATTTATTTTCATCTACTGGCCTGAATATTCAAGAAATCTTATTTAAGAAAAACATGTGCTTCTATTCAAACCTGTGTCCCCCAGGGCAGAGGAAACCACCATGAGATGCAACATCATCCGACTGAGTTGCAAAGAACTTAACCAATCAGACAAGGAGGAATGGTGTCTTTAAGTGAAAAAGTCTTCTAGTCATAGACTCTTGAAATTTTCATAATTGCTCAAGTTCATATCCAAACATAAACAAAGTAAACTTCTTTAGAAGTAATGGATTTTTTATTTATTAATCCAACAGATTTTATCACTTTAAGCATTATTTTTAGTCAATACTTATATTTGAGTAGATTCTCCATTTTATTTACTAAATTAACAACTTAAATAAATTTAATAAATATTGACCTGCACATGTCAAAAATTTTAATGAAGAAAAAGTGTTCCCTAGCAAGGATCGAACATGAATCCCCCTTTGTAAGGGGAAACCACCGTTTGGCATCATGTGCTTTACCAGTCAGCCATGTTGAATAAGACAGAAAGCAAGGTTCTATTTCTCCCTTTTTAAGGAAAGCACATCTTCTTCAGATTCATATTTGCTCAGTTCCTTATATGAAACATAAACAAAGCAAATGCTAAAGAATTAATGGATTTCTTTTTAATCCAACATTTCTATTATTGCAAACATTATTATAGTGGATTATTATAGTGGATTATTGCAAACATTATTATAGTGGATACTCATATTTGAAACAGATGCCACATTTTACATTTAATAGATCCAAATGTAATCATAATGATCATTTTATTTTTTTTATCTCAACTTGCACCAGAAACTGAAAGAGATTAAAACTTTAAAACCAAAGGACCTACCAAATATAAGGTGGAAATATTATGCCTTGTAAGAAATTTAGCCGCTAACTGCATATGCACAAACAGCCCCCATCCCCAAAGGAGTTACTCGGTTGGTAGAGAGATAATACCATGTCCTGTGTAACTATCACATTCACAACAATAGAGACTTAATTGAAACTTGAACATTCACTCATTCAAACTATTCCAATGCTTAAGGTGGCTTTCAGGAACTATTCAAAGCCCAGATAAAATTGTGGCATCAAAACTTAAAATTTGTTGAGCAATCCATTGAAAGCCGCCTACATTTTAGAGCCTTCAACATGTAAAACACCTGAAAATGCTTACAAGATGGAATCAAAAGGAAATCACTACAATGAGAAGATCTGACAATTCAGTGACTTTGAATATCTTAACTGCCCATTCTTCTCACATCATGCAGATTCGGTCAAATCATCAGCCAGGTCTAGAAGTCATCCTACAAATCATATTCAGTTAAAATCAAACATTGAATACTAACAAGGTTGATATTCACTGCCATGCCAGACAATTTTTCTTAATTTATTTTGTATATTTATAAATCTATGATTCATTTGTGCACTGAATATTAGTGTCGTATGTGGTCTGGTGTGCTCTGGCTACATATCTCAAGATTCTCACCAAAATCCAAAGAAGGGTCTGTAATGTTACTGGTCCTAACCTGGCATCTCTACTTCAGTCACTTTCCCCACCACCATGACATTGGCTTCCTTCTGTCTTTTCTATAAATATTTTCATGCCAGTTGTTCTAACGAGTTCTCCTTCATACCTCGACTGCACAAATTTAAACGTACTACTATATGTCATTGTTTTACTGCCAAAACAGCTAGACATAACCCTAAGTTCTATTCTAATAGTTTCTTTTCTTGCACTTCTCACTTGTGGAACTCTCGATTTCTCACTTCTTTGCCATCTACAATCTACAAAGATTTAGATGCAACATCAATTGCCATATTCTGTCTTCTTGAATTTTGTTCTTTTATAGTCCTTTCTCCTCCCTAAAGTCTTCTCATTCTCTCTCACTCTCTGTAACACTGTGTATTCTAGTGGCATTATCACCTTGCTTGGGGTGAAATGTTTAAAAAAAACTTCAGATGCTGAATGAAACTAAGGTGAATACCAATCAAGAACTGATGGCAATTTCAAAATGGGGTCTTTGTAGATGATTATTTTGAAAAGTGAAAGTGATCACCAAGACAAATGCATGCAGTTTTAAGCAGAATACTTTAAAATGAAGGAAGATGCCATTGTCTACGAGTGGTTATTTTTGGTTAATATTAAATAACTGGACCATTCATGGCTAAAATGTATATACATAGGATATACAGTGTATTGTATGTATATATGTTTAAAATTCTGCTATATTTATGCAGGAAGAGTGGTCAATATCAAAGAAGATTTGCAGATATAAACAGTGTGGACATAGAAATCAATACAGCATGGTGACTGCCAATTTCATACTTCAAGCAATCTTCAGTTGTACATTATATAGAACAATACAGTACATATTGTACTTCAGTATCTGCAGGGGATAGGTTCCAAATTTCCTCTCACACCACTACAGTCTAATGCTAATCATGATTTTTTTTCTTTACACCTAATTAAAAGGTAAAAAAAAAAAATTAAATAAAAACATTATTTGTATTAGAAAATTCTTAAGTAAAAAAAAAAACAAAAAAAACACCTTAATTTTAAAAATCTGCCCCCCCCCAAAAAAAATTACTAATTAGATATTAACATTTTTAGAATTTATTTTTAATTAATGAAAAGGATCAATTAAAAAAAAAAAGTTCCATTCTAAATTTTGAAAGAAAAAAAAATGTCTGAACCCAACACAAGTAACCAAGTAAAAAACCCAAAATGAACAATGATTGATAGAGAAAGAGGCTGTCTGCAAAATCATAAGAGGTTACAGCAGGCTATGCTTATGCATCATTTTCTTTGTGTGGATTCAGCATAGTGTTCAGAACATGGAAGTTTAGCTTCTTGGAATTTTTCAGGAATTTTATTTTTCAATCCAGTGTTGGTTGAATCTACAAATGCAAAATCTATGGATATGAAGAGCTGACATCTAATCTTAAGCATAAAAAGAAATTTCTTAAAAACTTTGACCATGTAATTGATTTATCCTTTACCTACTTCTCAACAGTTATTCAGAATTTGTTTTTATTTTTCAAATTCAACATTTCAATGTACAAATGTTTAAAAAAGAAGAAAAAAATATTTTAAATGAAAATGAAGGAAATTTTCATTTCTCACATAATTGCAGATGTTCTGTTCTATGGGCAATATTGGTTATCCAGCATAGGGATTGAACTTACATCCACTTGGTTATAAAAACTAAATGGGAGTTTGATATCTTATCTAAAATTTATTTTTTCTTTGCAACTATTTATTTTTATAACCAAGAGGATGTAAGTTCTATGCTGGTTAACTAATATTGTCCGCAGAACAAAACTTAAGAGCAGAGACTGCTTTTCTTTTTCTGTAAAAAAAAAAAAAAAAAAAAAAGGGTGGGGGCTTTTAGGTTTTTTTTTCTTCTCATCTTTAAGAAAGCAATGAATCTGACAATGCACCAGCAAGTTTTTGCCAGAGGATACAACAAGAGTTATGAACAAAAAGGTCAATGAAAGTTCAGTAAATCTGTATTAAAAACAAACGTCAGCTAACAAATACACTTTTCAAGGCTGAGAACAGCAATTTACATTGCATACTGAACTATTTCTCAGTTCAAATTTGGTTTGACAGAAAAGGAATAGGTGGATATTACAATAAACAGTCTTATGTTCTGATTAAAAAAGAAAACAAGCCTCAACACGTTGAATAATTAAAGGTTTGCCTTCAATGAGAGAATGCAATAATACTAATTTCTTTAACTTGATACTTATTGTTGGGTTTTTATTCATATTCTTATAGAGTTTGACACATTAAAATAATCATGACCATTTTAATATTCTTTAACTCGTCAATGCCCCCCTGTTTCATTTTGGGGACAGGGGGTATTAATGGGTTATTCTGGGAAACCTCTAATTAATCATGGATTTTTTTTTTTTTTATAAACATAATTAATAACACATTTTTATTTAATTAATGATGGATTTCATGCCAGGCATTAAAGGGTTAATATTGGTCATTTGATAAAATATTCTAGAAATGAAAACTGATGTTTCTATTGTTGCATGTTTTGATTTTTTTCTCTTTCTGCTGGAAAATGTTTCCCAAAGAGTTCAAGCCCTAAAACTGAAATCTGAAACACACCTGAAAGGGGACAATATAAGAAAAGCTATGAAGAGACCAGGACAGAAATTAGAAAATCTCAAAATCCATAACTAAAAGCAGATTTAAAAATAAATTTTATGTGAAAAATGAAAAACAAAATTCCTTTAACAGAGATCAAGTGATATCATTTTTTGGTAAATTCAGTTTGGTTTTTTGTGCTAAAGAAAATATATCTTAATTATTTCTTATTGAAAATTACCATTTTCTTAAAAACAAAAAAAAAACGACCATACAAGCAAAGTAGATGTACTGGGTTCTTTTTGAGATATTAAGGAATGCAAAACTGCAAAACTATGATGGCAGAGAAGTAGCATACATTTATAATTTTAATTTTTTTTTCAAGTATATTTTTAATTGAATTCATTTAAAAAAAAAAAAAAAAAAAAAAAAGATTTTTTTTTTTATCCTGTTAAAAATGAATCGGAAAAATTTCCAATGATGATAACCAAGTTGTATTTTATAATGTTTTACCCTTCCTTACTTTGTCATCAGAATCTTGTATAAAGCAATACTGTTGGGTTGAGTTGGCATCCCCTGACACTGATATCATGGTGTTAGATTTGTGTGCTAATGTTAATAAAAAGTCCAACCCTATTTGTGAGTGCTTTTTAATCCAAAAGCTATCAAAGTTATGAATTGAACTTTCAAAAAGGTCAAAAATCAAGTTCTTTTGAGTAAGCAGGTGTAGACATAACAAGAACATTTTACCCATAGGTTTCTATAAGATTAGTTATGGTGCACTCTGAAAAATCCCAGAATACAATTCTTGCATCACATTGAGAACTATCAGAATGCCACACACTGATTTTAATAGCCAGGGACTATTCAGTAAAAACAGTTGTGATTTAAAAAAGCAACAATAAGATGAAGTTACGACAAAATCATTAACTTCAAATATCATTTTTTATTAGTTTTCTTTGTCAACATTTCCATTCTATGAATTATTCAGTCTCAACATTTTCACTGTTTCAGCAATACACTCTCCCAGCCATCAGTAAATGCAAGTTGTACATCTGGTAATTCTTGTAGTCAATAAGACCCCTAATCTCATCTATTTCTACACTCCAGTTTGGATTTGTTCAAATGCCCAAACTGGAAAGACAAAAACAAGCAATTCTGTTCAAAGTTCTTTAACGATATAAAATCTATCTGGAAAGGACCTAACCACTTAATGAGAGAAGGAAAAAAGAAACCTACTAATGGTGTCTTAGTCCTCTTCAAATACTTCCTTGGAAACTCATGCCAACACCCATTTTCTCTCTTTCAAAAACAGTTTGTAAAGTCCTCTTTTGAGACTACCATTGCCATCATCTCTTTTGCGATCTTGGATAGTCTTCCTAATCTTGTCCATGACAAGTTTAGCTTTGGGAAAAGCCAGAAATTGCAAACAATCTAAATCTAGACTGATGGAATGAGCGGCTGACAGACATGGGGGTGGAAATGTTTTGCCAAAAAGCACCACAAAAGACAAAGAATCAACTTACATGTTAATTGTAAATGTGACACTAACACAGTACACAAACTCATTCAATGGTGCCTTGAATGATCAACTCCTTGACTATTACATGAGAGCATTTATACATATGCAGTAACATAGTACCTGATTGGTTGGCACATTATATCATTGTCAGGTAACCAGTTCTAGAGATATTCAAAATGGCAGCATATATTCTGGTGATTGAAGCCAAAATGCAGAAACCTAGCAGCTCGGCTTCAATTACTTTCTCACCACTATAACATGGCTTCCCAGTGTCTTTTCTACAAATATTTTCATGGTTATTGTTCTGATGAGCTTTTCGACTTTGATACCTCAACTTCATGAATTTAAGCATAGTATTTGATTGACAGTTAGGTCTCATTGCTTTACTACTGAAATTGCTAAATGCAAGTTCTATTCTAATAGCTTCTTCTCCCCGATGGAACTCTCTTCCAGCTTTTTACTTCCCCGTCAACTGCAATCTTCAAAAATTTAAATGCAATGTCTATTGTCAACTTCTGCTCCTTTAATCCCATTCATTTTATTGCTCTTTCATTCTCAGTAACCCCTTGCATCTTAGTGGCTTTATCACCTCACCTGGGATGAAATGATTTAAAAAAAAAAAAAAAAAAAAAAGATCTTGCACATTTGAAATAAAAGAGATGTAGATACTAACTTGAATTATGGAATAAGAACAATTCTAAGAACTTTGGACATGATTGGTCATATATTTGTATTTGGTGAGGCTAAGCACAATGTGACATAAAAATGGTTTGAGAAAGACATAACAATAATGTCATTAAAAGTTCTAGTTAGTCAAACATGATCATTAATAGAATTCATGAAGGGATAAAAACTGAAAGCTAAGCATACAGATGCTAAAATTTCGATAAACTTGTCAGACAGAAAATTAGCTTTAATGATCAAAACCACAATAATCCTAGTCTCAGACAAATAAAAAACAAAATATCAACAAAATGTGCATTGTGAAGAATATACATTTTTTCTTTTTTGCAGTAAGGTTCACCCTGTACAAGGCCTGGAGGAAGACTGGAGGCAGAGAGTTACATTAAGAGGCAATTTATACAGATAGGAAGGGAAGATAACAGTTAACCTTAGACTTGAACAGATTAAGATTGTAGTGATTGGGAAAACCTCCGTTTGGTAGTTGGTTCCATGGAGCAGTGGTTCACAGAAAGAAGTTGTTAGAGTGGAACTTACTTCTCACTGATGGAATACGAAGGGAATGTGGATGGTTTGCTACTGTGTAAGTAGAATGGTGGGTCCTATCCGTGAAATTTAAACCTGACAGAACCAAGGAATTTAGCTTGTCCGAGCACTTTCCATGGAAGTAGCAATAGAATAGTGAGAGACTCGCTACATCCCGCCTGTGAGAGACTGGTTAGAGGGTGGGCTTTATTCCTTCTCCAACAAAGACTCGGAGACGTTTTTGAACTGTATCAAGACTGGAAAGTGAGGAAATATTTTTTTACAGTGATGTTCGCCCTGCACAAGTCTGGGAGCCACTCGATGTAGAGTTTACATTTAGACCTATTTTATACATATAGGAGGGGGAAATAACAGTTATCCCTAGACTTGAACAGGTTAAGATTGTATTCATAGGGGAAACAGCCTTTTGGGAGTCTGTTCCATAGAACAGTGGGAAGAAGTTGTTAGAGTGGAACTTACTTCTCACTGATGGAATACGAAGGGAATGTGGATGGTTTGCTACTGTGTAAGTAGAATGATGGGTCCTATCCGTGAAATTTAAACCTGACAGAACCAAGGAATTTAGCTTGTCCGAGCACTTTCCATGGAAGTAGTGATAGAGCAGTGAGAGACTCGCCACATCCCACCTGTGAGAGAGAGAGAGAGAGAGACATTGGAGAATGAATATGAAGGTGACATTACAGTTATCAATACAGAAAATGGAATCATATAGCCAAATCCAATTTCCTGCCAAGTGTGTTGCATCCACTTTGCAAAAGTACCCTTCTGAAAAGCATGAATCCATCTCTCACTGATATAGCAAAGGAGAGGATAAAGAACAATCAATAGAGGACAACCATCCTAAATTGGAAAAAAGCAAAAAGCAAAAGCTGGAAAAAAACCAAATTCAAAACTGTGGAAAAGCAACTTTCCAAAGAACAGGAAATATTAAAGGAAGTGGAAACTGTGGAGGGTCATGATCACCTATGTCCCAAGTCATAGCATAAAAAAAAAAGTTTAAATTTATTTTCAAGGATTTTAAAAAGAAAAAAATGTTTTTTTTTGTGTGTTTATTTTCAACATCTATGTTTCTAAGATGAGGTATTGTAACTATTTACATTGTTCAGACTGTTATCCTCATCTTTATTGCCATATTCACATTTCAGCTATTTTTGTTCACCTCTACTGGCCAGACTTATTAGTTCAATACCTAGCCACTGCAGAGTTGAACAAAAACTTAGAAGTTGAGTTACTAAAGGGAATTAATTGAAACTGAGACATCCAGAAAAGGCATGGCACATTGAACTAGAACACTCTACCCCAGTGGACTAAATAAAAGGATCAGTTCAAAATTCCAATGTATATTCCCCGAAGAAGGGTTGGAGTGCACAACGGCCGAAATGTTGTGGATATGACAATAATGAGGAGGACAACAGTACTAAAAATGTAAATAATGTATTTGTTTATTTTTCTTAAGCATCCTCAGACTTTTAAAATGTATTATGATAATTTAAATATTTTCTTAGCAGTTTTAAATGAAAAGAAATATAGCATAAAGTACATCATAAAAAATACTTTTGCAGACTTAAGGCATGTTTCAGATTGATTTTAATTTAATATGTTTTGTTGCTGGCATACAAGAGTATTTTGCTTTCTTTTATTTTATTTTTGTGTAATTAAAATTCAAACTACAATGATATCTAAATTATTAAAATGCATTTTTAAAACTTATAAAAAAATATTCATGATCTTTGTGCATACCATAAGGACAAGAAAGAAAAGTTTTTAAAAAATCTTTTGCACATACCTCTAAGTTGTTCTCATCAAACCCGACAAGAAAACCATCCCACAGTTCTTGGGATTTCTGGTCTTTGCGTAACAGAGCTACCAAGTTCTCTTCCGAGCGGTCCAACACATCTTCTTCAGGGCTGATATTACAGCCTTCAGGGAACTGGATATACAATCTATAATGAATAGGGAAGCACCCGCTACCCTGAGAGAGGAAGATCAGGTCATAACTATTACTCTTATATTTTTGGATAATACTATTTGGGTTGACGTTAGCCACGTCAATCACAAAGGTGACGGTTTTGTCATCCTGTGAGAAGATAAACGGTGGAAGCTGACACAAGTCGGTGCTCGTTAACATACCACAGGTGTCAGAATCAGACGGGGATTTCATTACTGCATCATCGGAATTGAGGTCTTCGCATTCTTTATCAGCTACTGGGCTTGGAGAATCATACGATACCTCAGAGCCATCATCCAATGATGCCCCTCTCTCGGAGTCAACATCACTGGACACGTCCTCGTCCTCTGGAGCAGAACAAAACATCAAAGATTCTGGTTGTGCCGGAATCACAGGCAGCGTGACATTTAGCTGGCTCTTAGACTTGTCAAATTTGGCAGTTCCATTCGTCTCATCAACAGGATAAGGTAGCCGTAACTCAAGTTCATATGAAGCTGGTGTTGTACATTTTAACATGATATGGTTCTCAACAATGTCTAGGTCAACCGTGTTTGCTGACTTGAGTTTTGGTAAGTCTATGGATATTACCAGTTCTTTTGGTCTGGTGCTTGTCTTGGCATCTGGAGCATTACGGAATTCCTGCAAGTCTACTGCTGAACGGTGGAGAATGGTGTATTTAGGAGTGATGGGTTTGTCTTCTGTTGATTGTGATACAGAAGAATCCGCTTTAAGAGAGGAAGATGTTGATGATGAAGAATTGCCCTGAGATGAGGATTCTTTAACAGTGGTTTCATTGGATACTACCTTTTCTGCTTGTCTTTTAGAAGCTTTACGACGACCCTCTTTTTCTAACCACTCAGTAGTCATTTCCTCAGTCGTTTTATTGCTATCGTATGGATAAGGCATTTGGTTTAATATACTGTCCGCTGGAGGCCCTTCGCACTGACCAGCATGACCCTCACGGCGGGTCCTCAAAACTGATGAGGTAATAGCACCCTTATAGTTATTTTTCAGTCGTGGGGTCTTAATGTTTTTCTTGTCTAATTTAACATTGAAGTGTTCTTCAATCGCATCCAAGGCTGTATCATGAACCAGTTTTTTAAATCGCGAATTTGACTCAGCCATTCTATACGTATCAGTGTGAAAGACAACATCATAAACGGTGCATTTCTCACCACTCCTGTCTAAATCATCCCGGGGTCTAGTCAGAGAATGAGGAATGGACCAATTAACCCCACAACCATTAGGGCCATTCTGCCTGGTAAAAGTGGCCTTCTCTATATTCTCGTTCTTACAAATATTTATAAAAGCCTTTTTCTTTTTTCCGTCGCTGTCTAAGGTCGATTTTATTACATGTCCCGGTTCAGGGTTTATAAATTTAATATCCATTCCCCTCTCAGCCTCCATCTGCTGAATTTCGTCTTCGTATTTCTTACGATTCTCCGGGTTTGAAATCTCTTCGGCATACTCAACCAACAGTTTTCGGAATTCCTCTTTCTTCATCGCCTCTTCGAATCGCTTCAGCTCCTCTGGGGTGATATCCACCTCCGGCCGAGACATGGTGGGTTCACTGTCTGACTCGTTAGACTACGACATAACAGACAAAACAAATTCAAAACACAAGCACACACTCACCTTTTCACAATATCCCCCAACGTGTGTTCGCCTTGCTACTTACTGGTTCATCTACATAGCAACGGAAGTCGGTGTGAAGGACTGCTGCCTCGCAGTAAATAAACACATTACAAATTCTCTTCTGTTATTGGATAAAAATACAACAACAATGAACTGCCCAACTACACCCCGGTTTTGTTTTCATAACGAAACCGGGTTGACGATTTAAAATTATGCCTTAAGTATGCTATGTAATAAGTTTAACAGTTTATTTTTTTGTTAGATAAAAGTAGTTTTATTGCGTAAGAATTCGTGTAAAGATAAATGTTAAAAGATACAGTTGTTTCTTTTCTTTTTTTATTGTTTCGAACGCATTTTTGCCAACGTGTACCAAAAAAAACAAAAAAGACGTTTTGTTTTCTCCCCATGGTAACGTAAAAATAGCAACAAAAAAAGTTAAAACTTTTATCTACAGATACCAAATCGAGTATATTAAGTTTAAATTTATTCCTTTCTTAATTTTGAAAAATATGAGATTTTAGGTAAAAAAAAAATCCCTACGATTTTTTTTTTATTAAAATTATTTTTTTTTTCTTGTTATTTAATTATTATTACGAAGGAATATTACTTTAGATATCTAAAATCAAATAGTACAAAAATAATGTTTTTGTTTTTTTTTTTTTTGTAAATGTGTCCCTGGAACAAAATTGAAAAAAAAAAAAAAAATCTGAAATATGTATTCAATTTTTATTTATTTCGCCTAAGCTGCGCCATCTTGGTTCGAAACCGGGTTGTAAGTCACGTGACATGGTTACGAAGAAAGTTATTTCCCTTAAAATATTTTTATTAAGGTAAACTTTGGAATATTTCATTAAAAAATGAAATGAATTATTAAAAATCATCGAAAATTATCCTTTATTAATCGGCTAGCATTTATCAATATTACTAGATAAATAAAATTTTGAAAAGAAAAAAATTATTCCGAAACAGCTTTGATTTAATTAAAGAATTTTCTGTTTAGTCTTTAGTGAAAGACCATATGTTCTTTTTTGTGGAAATTTTTTAAATGAAAAATTATTATTATTGTTTGCTGTTCTGACGAGCATGATCATCTTGGTTGTTATACTCACAAGGTGTCAGTTGTACCCTCTGGAAGAGCCCTAAGTACTTAAAATATTTTGGTGCCGCCATACATTTGGCAGTTAAGTATGGTGTCTCAATGAGTAGTGCAAAAAAAAAGGCATCAACTCAGAACGTACATCATGGAAACGCCAGCTGGAAATAATTATAGAAAGAACTGAAGGCACATATGACCATCAAGGGAGGCTGATCATTAGTTCCAACCCAGAACAACACCAATGTCCTGAGAACCCAGCCAGAAAAAACTAATCGCAGCTGACCAGAAGTGGTTGCGTAATCAACAAACCAGCATGTTAGAGAATCCCATAAGCATATGGCCAGAATAATGGCAAACAAATATGAGAGTTGCCTCCCACTGTGATTGGTCACAAAAAATTAAATCCCATAATGCTAATTAGTAATACTAACTTAGATAAAAGGGGAGATGTGATGTATTGAGTAGATACAAACTTCATTATCTCCCTTAGATCATTCCCTTATTAATCAATCAGAATCACAGTAAAGATTCAATGCAGGTTAGTTGTCACCACATACATAATCGTGCCCAGCAGATTCGAATGTTATCCATATTCAATTTATCTCTTTAGACCTGTACAATAACGTCAAATGATAACAATTTATATAGAGCTCTCTTTGCTTGATCTGTTAGTTTACCTCCTCCTAATTTTCTAAACTGCTCCCTGGGGACACTCTCAGGAATACAAATACTCTGCAATGTTGGCGGATAAGATCAAAAAGAGAGCGAGAAAAATTATCGCCAAGTTTTTATAGTCCTGAGAGCTTCCCCAGTCAGCAGTTCCATAAATTAGAAGGAGATAACCCAACAATACTCCTCTCCACCATCGACATTCATTTCACAGAACAGGTCTAGCAACTCCCACCATCACCTTGGCCTACCTCAACTCATTCCACATCCTTTACAATTGATACCAGCGACCTTCATTCTTCAGAACAGGCCTAGCAGCCCCCACCATCATCTCAGTTTACCTCAACTCATTCCACATCCTTTAAAGTTGACACCAGTCACCTTCATTCTTCAGAATAGGCCTAGCAATCCCCACCATTACCTCAGTTTACCTCAACTCATTCCACATCCTTTAAAGTTGACACCAGTCACCTTCATTCTTCAGAATAGGCCTAGCAATCCCCACCATTACCTCAGTTTACCTCAACTCATTCCACATCCTTTAAAGTTGACACCAGTCACCTTCATTCATCAGAATAGGCCTAGCAATCCCCACCATTACCTCAGTTTACCTCAACTCATTCCACATCCTTTAAAGTTGACACCAGTCACCTTCATTCTTCAGAATAGGCCTAGCAATCCCCACCATTACCTCAGTTTACCTCAACTCATTCCACATCCTTTAAAGTTGACACCAGTCACCTCCATTCTTCAGAATAGGCCTAGCAATCCCCACCATTACCTCAGTTTACCTCAACTCATTCCACATCCCTCACAGCTGACACCAGTCACCTTCATTCTTCAGAACAGGTCTAGCAATCCCCACCATTACCTCAGTTTACCTCAACTCATTTCACATCCTTCGCAGTTGAAACCAGCAACTTTCATTCTTCAGAACAGGCCTAGCAGCCTCCACCATCACTTCGACTTAACTGGACTAATTTCACATCCTTCACTGTTGACACGAGTGACCTTCATTCTTCAGAACAAACTACCAACTCCCACCGACACGTCAGCCTACTTCAACTCATTTCAGATACTTCGCAGTTGACACCAGTGACCTTCATTCTTCAGAACAGTCCGAGCACCCACAACCATCAACTCAGCCTACCTTGACTCATTTACAAAGCATTCTCTTCACAGTCAACCACCAGCAAACTTCATTCCACAGAAAAGGCCTACCAAATCCCACCATCACCTCAACCTACATCAACTCGTTTACAAGGCATTCCCTTAGTCGACACCAGTGATATTCATTCCACAGAACAGGCCTAGCAAACCCCATCGTCACCTCAGACTATGTTGACTTGGCATACCTCGACTTCTTTACAAAGCATTCCCTTCAAAGTCAACCCCAGCGACCTTTATTCCACAGAACAGGCCTAACAAAACCTGTCATCACCTTGGCCTACCTTGACTCATTTCACATCCTTCACAGTTGACACCAGTGACCTTCATTCTTCAGAACAAGCCTACCAAACCCCACCATCACCTTGGCCTACCTCAACTCGTTTACAAGGCATTCCTTTATTCAACACCAGCGACCTTCATTCCACAGAACAGGCCTAGCAAACCCTTTGTCACCTAAGCCTATGTTAACTTGGCTTACCTCAACTTGTTTATGAGGCGTTCCCTTCACAGTCAACCACCAGCAACCTTCATTCCACAGAACAGGCCTACCAAACCCCACTGTCACCTTGGTCTACCCCAACTCATTTCACATCTTTCACAGTTGACAGAGGTAACCTTAATTCTTCAGAACAAGCCTACCAAACCCCACTGTCACCTCGGCCTACCCCAACTCATTTCACATCTTTCACAGTTGACAGAGGTAACCATAATTCTTCAGAACAAGCCTACCAAACCCCACTGTCACCTTGGTCTACCCCAACTCATTTCACATCTTTCACAGTTGACAGAGGTAACCTTAATTCTTCAGAACAAGCCTACCAAACCCCACTGTCACCTCGGCCTACCCCAACTCATTTCACATCTTTCACAGTTGACAGAGGTAACCTTAATTCTTCAGAACAAGCCTACCAAACCCCACTGTCACCTCGGCCTACCCCAACTCATTTCACATCTTTCACAGTTGACAGAGGTAACCTTAATTCTTCAGAACAAGCCTACCAAACCCCACTGTCACCTCGGCCTACCCCAACTCATTTCACATCTTTCACAGTTGACAGAAGTAACCTTAATTCTTCAGAACAAGCCTACCAAACCCCACTGTCACCTTGGTCTACCTCAACTCATTTACAAGGCATTCCCTTAGTTGACACCAGCAACCTTCATTCCACATAACACGCATACCAAACCTATTGTCACTTCGGCCTACGTTGATTCATTTCACATCCTTCACAGTTGACACCAGCAACCTTCATTCTTCAGAATAGGCCTACCAAATCCAACTGTCACCTCAGCCTACCTCAACTCGTTTACAAGGCATTCTCTTAGTCAACACCAGCAACCTTCATTTCACAGAACAGGCCCAGCAAAGCCCATCGTCTCCTCAGCCTATATCAACTTGGCCTACCTCGACTTGTTTACGAGGCATTCCCTTCACAGTCAACACCAACAACCTTTATTCCACAGAAAAGGCCTAGCAACTCCCGCTGTCACCTTGGCCTACCTCGACTCATTTCACATCCCTCACAGCTGACACCAGCAACCTTCATTCTCCAGAACAGGCCTACCAAACCCCACCATCACCTTGGCCTACCTTGATTTGTTTACAAGGCATTTCTTTCACAGTTGACACCAGCAACATTCATTCCACAGAACAGGTCTAGCAACCCCCACTATCACCTCAGCCTACCTTGACTCACCTCACATCCTTTGAACTTAAATGTCTTCTTATTTCACATATCATTGTCATGTTGCTTACGTTAAGTTGATTTCACCCAACCTGATAATTATTTTTCTCCTGATAACAAGGAACACACTAGACTATATACGTAGAGACTCAAATATACATTTAGACACCTTTTTCAAACTGAGACCCACTGAAGAAAAATATTGACAGATCCCATAAGCATATTTATTTTGCTTAATGATTAATCCAGACCTTTTGTCCTTCTTCAGATATCTGTTGTCATACAAAAAGCTGGAGAGTATAACA